TCATCATCATCATCATCATCATCATCATCATCATCATCATCATCATCATCATCATCATCATCATCATCATCATCATCATCACCATTGTAAACAGCAAGGAATAAAAATAGGTTTGAGACTTGTAGAATTTCCAAATTTTATAAAGGTTCAACATTTCGCCCTTCACCAGGAACACACAATACCATCATTATCATATCATATCACCATCAACAACAACAACAGCAATAAAAAAACAACCATGTCCATTTGCTTCTAGCCAGAGACATTTTTATTAATAAAAGTTGAAAAGAACCAGAAATACTAATAATATAAAAAGAAACATAAAACTCAAAACAAGAAGAAAAGTAAGCAAAACTTTCACACGTCAACACAATCAGCAATCACACATGTCAGGCACACAATCATAAGTTAAGATGCACACAAACACACACACACACATACACACACACACACACACACACACACACACACAAACACACCAACATGAGTGAAGGTGTCGTAACATAGTCCGAAGTGTGCGTCTTTTTAGAAAGATAAATGTATTGTCCGAGAACAGTAAAAAGCAGCTGGGGATACTCCTGCCAAACTTGTGTCCGCATCACTACTCAGACAACAATTGTCATGGCAACACTGTCCGACAGTCGGTTGTAGTAGTGACGTCATCGTTCCTGTGTGCAGTCACAAACGGATGTTTCAAGACCTCGGCGGCTGAGTAACGGTTTCGGGAGTCAACGACCAGGAGGCGCCGGATCAAATCCCCGGCATAGTAAGACAAGGACTCACGAGTGTGTCTAGGGATGGAAAATTCCCCACTGCAGATCTTGGGGAACATGTCTTCGTTACAGCCCCGACAACCGCGGACCGAGACTTGCACGTGCTGTGCACAGTGGCCGACAAAGGGTAGACGGCGGAAGAGCATTTCAAAAATGAGAATTCCCAGACTCCACATGTCGCAGCGGGTGTCGTAGGGTGCTTTACTTCTCTGTGGCTCGGGTAACCGCAAACCGGCGATCTCTGGTGCCATGTATTGCGGGCAGCCAACGGATGACTTCAGAGCAGGCTTGGTTATGTCCCCTTTGGGGGGGTGACGTCGAGAAGGGGATTCACTCGCTACCCCAAAGTCACACAGGACCAGTGGGGTGACTTGTCCTGGGCTGTGGCAGAGAATGTTCTTGGGCTTGAGGTCTCTATGCGCCACTCCGTCTTTGTGAAGTGTGAGGAGAGCGCGGGCGATGGCGTTGGTCACTCGTGAAACCTGGGACTCGCTCAGATACGGAGTTGACGTCAACAGAGCTCTTAGATCTCCTCCTGCCATTTTCTCGAACATCAGGAAAAACGTATCTCCTATCCAATAGAACTCCACGAAAGTCAGGATGTTTTCCGAGTTCTTGTAGCGTTGACAGGTCTTGATCTCATTTACTACTCTACGATTTATTACTCTATTTTTATCCCAACAGTTCCTGATGACTTTGACGGCGAATTCCTTCCCTGTTTCCTTGTTTCTGTATGTGGAGACAGAGCCAAAGCTCCCACGGCCCAGCTTTTCTCCCGTAGGCTCGAACAACGGAGAGAAAATCTCATCCTCATCCTTCTTTTGTTGCTTGCTTTGTCGTAGCATTCGTTTTGTCGGATCGATAGAGAAAACTTTAGTTCTTGCACAGTCGCCGCCCGAGTTGTTCGTGGGTGTAGTAGTAGGAATGACGTCACACGAGGCTACATCTGTGTTGTTCATGGTTGTAGTAGTAGGAATGACGTCACACGAGGCTACCTCTGTGTTGTTCGTGGTTGTAGTAGTAGGAATGACGTCACACGAGGCTACCTCTGTGTTGTTCGTGGGTGTAGTAGTTGGAATGACGTCACTCGAGGCTACCTTTGTGTTGTTCGTGGTTGTACTAGTAGGAATGACGTCACACGAGGCTACCTCTGTGTTGTTCATGGTTGTAGTAGTAGGAATGACGTCACACGAGGCTACCTTTGTGTTGTTCGTGGTTGTACTAGTAGGAATGACGTCACACGAGGCTACCTCTGTGTTGTTCGTGGTTGTACTAGTAGGAATGACGTCACACGAGACTACCTCTGTGTTGTTTATGGTTGTAGTAGTAGGAATGACGTCACACGAAGCTACCTCTGTGTTGGGAGCAGGGAACACAGGGCCAGTACAGGCCTCAGACGGGATGCGTTGCTCACTATCTCCGTGATTTTGAGGACGTTTTCTGGAATAGGAAGGTACAGGATCTGTGCACGTTATAGTATTATCCTTGTCTGTCTTTTTTGTAGGCAGCGCCGGGCCATTACCGGCTATGTCCGTGTTTGTTGTGTTAAG